TCACTGCTGCTGCTCTGTAATTCCCTGTATACAAGTCAGATTATACAATGTAAAGTGTCCTGTTGTGTGTCTTTTACTTCTTTGTCCTCACCCCATAGGTGTACTCCCTCTTTAAGACAGTCTTATTTGCCTTAGTGGCTAGAATAATGACTTCCAGCCACCCCCATAGTTATGGCAGTGCCTCACAGATGACTCATTTCCCCCTTTGTAGGGGATCTCTTGGTCCCAAAGAGCCACTGGGCCCCTCAGGCCCTAAACCATTGTCCGGGTTTCAGCCTTCTTGGCCTTTGCCCTTTTTTGTCTGGATGAGCCTCCTCAGCCCAGATCCACCACCCTGGACTCTTGAGGCAAATATTTATACATGTGCCCTGGGAGTGGGGTGGTGGTGCTTTAATTAGAGCGGTGTGGTAATTACCACATCCCAGCAGACTCCAGCATCACATATATCAGCATCCCCATGCTGAAAAATGGCAGTGTGGGTGCTTTAACTGAAGCTCATCAAAAGAGCTGAAGTCTGCTGGAGCATGGTAATTAGCAGCACGTCGGAGCAGCCTTGCTGCATGTGTGTAGGCTCCCTGGGTTCCTAAGGCCCAGCCCCACGTGTCTCTGATCAAAGCTGGCCTCACAAGCAGAGAGTACCCCTGGCACCCTTCTCTATGGCGTCCCGACCTCCTGTACAACCACAATCCAGTCCTCCCATCATAAAATGAAATAAAGAAAAGAAAACCAACACATAAAGGATTAACTTTCTGGTTCTAACTCAAGCTCAGTCCCCTCAGGGCCATAACCATTGTCACCTTCATAAGGATGGCCTCGATTCCCCCAGTCCCAGGTTACTTCCTTTCCCCTGGCAGCCAGCTCTGCCTCCCAGCTCCTTCCCCTGCAGCCTGCAGGCCTGGACTGCCCATCCCAGCTCAGAGAGTGGGCTTATATGCAGCCAAGCTCTGTCCTTTCTAGTCAGTATACTCCTGCCCCTAGAGATGTGCCCAGCAGTTTCTACTCAGCCTAGTGAATTGTTGGGATGTTCTTGTCCTGCAGCCTTCCCAAGGTCCTTAGCAGGCCCATACCTAAATGTTGCAGTTCTTGTTGGGGTTGGATATTGCCAAGGCTACAAAAGTAGCTCCCCCTCTGATTGCAGTTAACAATGTTGGGATTCCCTGTCCCAAAGAGTAAGGAATAAGATCAGGAACATGGAGTGGAAAAAGACACATTTTATAGAGACAGCCAACATTATGCCTGTCAAGAAGGATAGGTGACTGAGGCCAGGCTCCAAACCAGCAGCACAGCCCAAGACATTCTGTACTGAAGCATACAGAGTATGCGCTGGGGGGGCACAAACTACAGTGGTTGCAGTGCTCACAGGGTTTCCATAAGTGCTTCTCAGACTCCTTGCCAGCTCAAGTCTGGCATCTAGTGCAGCAGCGGGGTGCAGCAAGGGGTTAAAGTAGATAAAAATAGAAGAGGTGCTTACCATCACTGGAGCTGTATGTGAAACTTATGCAGCAAAGTGATAGTGTTTTCTCTTGTGTGCATGGCAGGGGGGAGAAAACAAAGACAAGAAAATATGAGGATTTGTTAAGTAGCCTTTGATATTGTGAGACCAGGTCCTAAGGCAAACTCATAACAGGCCAGACAAGTGTGTGCATACTTATATATTTCATAGATTTCATAGACATCAGGGCTGGAAGGGACCTCGGAAGATCATCGAGTCCAGCCTCCCGCCCAAAGGGCAGGAAGTCAGCTGGGGTCATAGGATCCCAGCAAGATAAGCATCCAGTTTCATCTTGAAGGTGTTCAATGAAGGCGCTTGAACCACCTCTGGTGGCAGGCTGTTCCAGACCTTGGGGGCTCGGACAGTAAAGAAATTCTTCCTTATGTCCAGCCTGAAACGATCTTGAAGTAGTTTGTGACCATTCGACGTCGTCATCCCTTGGGGCGCTCTGGTGAACAAACGTTCCCCCAGATGCTGGTGGTCACCCCTGGTAAACTTGTAGGTGGCCATCAGATCACCCCTGAGCCTGCGCTTTTTCAGGCTAAAGAGCCCCAGGGCTCTCAGCCTGTCATCGTAGGGTCTGCTTCCCTGACCTCTGATCATGCGCGTGGCTCTTCTCTGGACTCTCTCAAGCTTCTCCACATCCTTTTTGAATTGTGGAGCCCAAAACTGGACACAGTACTCCAGCTGCGGCCTCACTAAGGCCGAGTACAGGGGGAGAATGACGTCCTGGGATTTGCTTGAGAAGCATCTATGGATGCAAGCCAGTGTTTTGGTCGCTTTACTAGCTGCCGCATTGCATTGCATACATATGAGTATGTATGCAATGTATAATTGCGGGAAGTGCTCCCTAATCTCTCCACTCACCCCACCTATGAAAGCCAAGAGGAAGAGGGATCTGAAAGAACCTTTCTGGAACCTTCAGAGACTTCCAAAAGACCTCTTCCACCCTCTCACTGATTACCATCCCCTGTTCTATAGATATTTTTAGAGATAAAAATTGGCATGGGGTAATGCTGGCTCAAGAGGGTTCTTGTCATAAACCTGAAATGACCCCATGGTAAAAATCCAAAGGGGTTGGAGCATCATAATGGAAAAATGTTATGGGTCAAATTCAGCCCTAGCATAGATGAGTATAATTAATAGATTTTGGCTTCACTTTCTCCAGGGCTGATCTTGGTCTTAGACTTGCAGAGAAAGGAAACACAACAGCTGAATCCATATGAGCTCGTTTTATGAATATGCCAAGTGTAACAAGTGGACTGTCCCGGGGGCTGGTCTGAATATTGGCCTGCCTACTTGTCTAGGGTAGTCCACCCACCTGCCTCTCCTGCCGTGCCTTTGATGTAACTTAAGCAGTTCCCAGGCAGGAGTCTGCCCATTTAATTGCTCTGATGCCAAGGGTGAATACACAGCTCCAAACCTCTCCTTATACCATGTCCCATGCCTTGCACATGGCATCCATATCCATTAATACTCTCCCCAGCCTCTTAGTTGGACCGCACTCAGCCTCACCCAGCCCAAACTTAGCTTCAGGCATCCTCAAACCTACCTGGGCCTCATGGCCCTGTAGCCTCCCATACTTGTCCTTTGATGACCGGCAAGAGTTCTTGACCAGAGAGGGTGTACTTATTCCCCGGTATGTAGTCAGCTTGGCTCGGGTGTCTGTGGGAGTATTATAAGTCCGTTCCTGCCATGTCTTTGGTGTTATAAAAAGCTAGAAAGGCCGATCTTTGTCCTCATACAGCCTTCACACAGATGCCATAGGTCCCACATTTCGGGGCTCTGCCTCCGCTACACCCCCACCTGGTGCCTCCCAGATGACAACACAGGTAAACAATGTCCAATCACAATTTGCAACAGTGTCTTCCCGGCGCTGATGCAAAAGTATACAAAATCCTCTGCACTGGTACATCTCCCCCACTTGGGAGTTAAAAAGTCCATATCACAGCACCGTCCACATACTGAGGCTAGGGAAGTTAGTTCTCCTTCCCCTGTGCCCAGCCCCAGTACTCACAGCTATACTATGCTGCCTGCAGATTTTCCTGGTCTGTCTCCAGCTATCATCGTTGCCAAGGTCCAATTTCCTGCTCTCTGGTACTTGATGTAGCTCCTTTGAGCCAGCTCCAATGAGAGCTGCTTGCTGCTACTGTTTCCACCATTTGCCCCTGAGGGGCTGTTCCTCTGGAGTGCGGCTGCCACGGAACCACCGCAGCCACTTTTGGTCCTCCTGCGCACCGTGTCCAGGGGGGGTTTAAACTCCACCTCCGCATTGCGCTCTTCCCACTGAGCCCAGCGGGTCCTTATTAGCTGGGGTTGACCTGGAACCAGCATCTCCGGACGTGCCTGATGTGCTTCTGGGTTATCATCTGGGAGCCTCAGCCCAGCTGCTGCTGCAGCCAATCGAGCTCCGCTGCCACACCCCCCATACTGGGACTTCTTCACATGCCCTTTGCTGGGGCCTCAATACCCTGCCCTTCGCTGGCTGCTGGGCCTAATGCCCCTTGGGCCTCAGGCCTCACTCAGTGGGCCTGGGCCCTGCCTCAGGCCCCCTTCAATTGGCCTGGACCCTGCCTCAGGCCCTACTCAGTGGGCCTTGGCCCTGTGCTTTTCTGTTGGGGTGCGCTCCCCTAGCCTTTCCCCTCCACAGGGTCATCTGCAAGGCAGCAGAGGCTGAGGATTTCCACTGCCCCATCCTTGCCTTTCACTGGGAAGGCACAGGTGTGACATTTCCTGAGGACTGCCCCACCACAAGCAGCCCCACCATACCATCCTCCCTAGCAGGATGTAGTTTTAGGTCATGCCCCGGGACCAGGAGCTTCCTCCATCCCCATAGTTCCTACTCTGAATCTCCAAGCTATTCTGGGAGCAGCAGATCTCTGGCTGGGTGATATTGTTCCTTCAGCCCCCTACAGCAACTGCTAGCTCTGCTCTTGGGGCCTAGCCCTATACCCAGGCACCCAGCCTCTCCACTAATCAGGCAGCCTCTTGCCTAACATGTGACCGCCTGATTGGGTCTGCTCTCACCTGCAGGCTGTTTGCCACCTGCTCAGACCCCTTAAAGTGGCAGGCACAACCTGTGCTCTGCCACACCAAGGCATAGAAATTAGAACACTCACATTTCCTAACAAGTTCTGCTACGTTTAACACATGTGACCTCAGCTGGCCTGGAATATTACTGAAATCCCACAAATGCTAAGCACTGAAAATAGCTAAGAGCATGTTGATCACCTACCCAGAAATGCAGTTATCACTCAGCATTTCTTCCTTTTCCTGTTTATTGTAGTCATTACAGTTAGAATGTCCAAGGTCCTTCCTGTGTGGAAATAAGTAATGAGAAACCCAGGAGATAAGACTACAAATGGTGTATTTTGAAAAATTTTAACTTAGTCACAAATGGGTGAATGGATGAATATGAAGTATTTGCAGGGATTTATCTGGACCTGCCTGAAGTTGTTTCCTGTTTTCCTTCTCCTTTCATGCATAAATCCAATATTTCCCCTCACAGATGGGGTGGCTGCATTCCGCGCGTTCCTAAAGACAGAGTTCAGCGAGGAGAACCTGGAATTCTGGCTGGCCTGTGAAGAGTTTAAAAAGACCCGATCAGCAACCAAACTGGCATCAAAGGCTCACAGGATCTTTGAAGAATTCATTGATGTGCAAGCCCCTCGAGAGGTTGGTAGTCGTATGCCTCCTGGTGGGATTAGTCTCGGAGGCAAGCCTAGAAAGAAAACTCTCTAAGTGTTGGAAGAAAAAGGAGTGGTTGGGAACACTTTGGTTTGCCACGAGTCTCACCAATAAGATTTTGTACTCTTTAAGTAACCAGTACAGAATTTAGAGCTGGGAATTGTTCCTTTAACAAGATGATGATGTCACATCCTATACTGTGAGTCAGGTTGTGGCATTATACTGTTTACCCAGCCAGGAGTTCTAGTGAATATACATCCAATTTCTAAAAAATGTTTCCCCTGACAAACAACCTGCCTTGATGATACTGATCTTTAGAAAGCTGACTCCAAAGGCATTCCTGTGAGAGAGTTTGTCATTGCTCCTCTTTTGGACTATGGGAGATTCCATGGTGCCAATGAGGAAAACTCAGACTTTTATCAAAACTTGCGACCTGTCAGCATTGGCAATCTGAGGTCAAATTAATTTCCTACTGAAGTGGATAACAATATTTCCATCATGATAATGGGAGCTGGATAAGATCATCGGTGTCCTGTTATGCTTAATGCATTCCCAGTGGGCTTAGAATCTGGAGTCCTGATCCCACAAGTCTCATGTTGAAACCAACCAGTGCCACAAACATATGAAGCAACACATAGAGGTCTACTTCCTTGATTATATAATTCCCTGTTATATAATTATGGAAGCCTAAGTAGTTCGACAGAATAGCAATGGGAAACTGTCTCCTAGGGATGCCTTTTCAGTCAGTTTTCTCATGACAGCCAGGATAAAGACATAATTTTATTAAGACAAAATCTATGAAAATTATAGCACACAGGTTCATCATAACATTATACTAATTTAGTAGAAAAGTCTTGGCATAATATATTTTGATGCAATGGCAAATGATGAGAAAATCAAAACAATTTATTTCAAAATAAAATAATGTAAAGCCATTTAACCCAATTTTACTAGTAGTTTGAGCCCCTAAAAATTCATTCTTTATTAATTTTGACATGCATAGAGTGAAGTTTGTAAAAAGTATTGTAAAAGAGTCTTCATCAGTGTGCGGCTAGCTGGAGTAACAAAGACAGGGGTCTACAGTTTCAGATTTAGAACAGGTGTCTAAAGATAGGCATCTAAATCCATAATAAGAAACCTAAATATAAGTGGCAAAGGTCCTGACTATCCCAAGATGGCACAGAAATTAATATATATTAAGTACCTATTTTAAGCTGCCTAAGTATGAAAATTGGGAAATAGTATATTACAACTCTCCCCCTACCCCTCCAACTCATGTTTTTTATCATTACAATTATGTCTGTGACAAACACCATTTTAACCATATAAGCCCAGGCTTGCTCTATGTCAACTTCTTTTTTGGACATTTTTCCTAGGTGAACATAGACTTCCAGACACGGGAGGTGACAAGAAGAAATGTGCAGGAGCCCTCTCCTTCTTGCTTTGATGAGGCCCAGGGGAAAGTGCACAGCCTCATGGAGAAAGACTCTTACCCCAGGTTCCTGAGATCCAAAATTTACACAGATCTGCTGACTCAAACCCAGAGGAGGCTCAGTTAGAGCAGATTGGGGCCAGAAGAAACCATGAGCTTCCCACAGCAGCCAAAACCATTTCCAAATGTGAAACTCCATTGTTGTTAAAAAAAATAAGCAGTGGTACAGGAACAGAAGGAGGGAGAGGGGGAGGGGGAGTGTAAGGGGAGCCCATTCCAGAACGTGACCCAAACACAGTGCTAGGACTCTCTGAGTTTGTGTATGTGCTTTGGTCCTTGGTAGCATCCCGAAGTCGTTGCCTTTCTCTGGAACAGAAATGTATCCTCTGTGGTGCAAAGGGCCATCTGCCTAGAAGATGGATGGGCCTCCTAAAACTCACTCCACAGGCTATTCTGTAAATAATGCTGATATACTCCTCCATCCTTCTAGAGCTCTCCTGGCTCAAACCTCTTCCATACATTTGGAGATGATGCTAAGGGTAGTCATGAAACCAGTGTTGCTGAGCACAATTTAGAGCACTGCTTTACTCACACGGGTGGCTAGGACTCTGATCTGAAGATTGGGGTGGGAGGAACTAAGGCCACAGGACCTGAGCTTCCTCCTGGCTTAGATGGAAGAGATCAACTGAGTCAGCTCTTTCTTCCAGGTGACACATACATTGTGAGGTCAGTAGTGACCGTCTTGCAGCCCCTTCCTACCTATCTGACAGCACCCCTGACTATAAAGTCCTTCTCTGTGGGGGAAAGAAGCTGAATGGTACTTTTATTAATTTGTCAAGGAACTTCAGTTTCCTCACCACATGGCCAAACCAAAGGCCCTGGCTAGAATGGCTTTGTTATTTCTTCTGGTACAAATTATTATTTATTACAGATATTTATTTACACTGAAGTTAAGCCTATGGGCTTTGCCCCTAAGTCTGGCCCCATTCTGTGTGACAATGTACCAAAACAAAACCAAAAAAAGATGCTTCTGCTACCCAAAAAACTTTGCAGGATTAGTGGACTCTTCTTGTGAGGCAACTGTCAGGTACCAAGACAAATCCAAGACAAGAGATGTTCCTCCCCACTAATTGCTAACAAGTGTGGGGAACAAAAGGCACATCTGTTATGGCAGAACACACTTTTCATATATTGCCTGATTGGGGGCATGATGGAGAGAGATGGAGAAACATGGAAATCATGGTTATACTATTAATATTTATTGGTTACCAACTGTTATTATCATTTAATGATTGCCAATTGAATGCTCAGTATTCAGGCAAATATAGAGACATGGGCCCTACCTGAGGAATTTGTTCCAAAATAACTAGTGCCCTGGAAACATAGTGCATAGAGTTAAGCCTTGAAGCAGTACTTGCTGTATTTGCCACGTTTTTATTACATAGTTTAGGAGGAAATTGTGAACAGACATCAGTTGTGTCACAGGACAACCATGGTGTAAAATAATACAGTTAGAGTAGAATCTAAAATCTGTAGTTAGAGTGATCCCTGGGTTTTCTATCCTCCAAGTTTGGGTTAAAACAGTGATGTATTACGGAGTAGGCAGGAAGAACTGGACTCCAAGCTAAGCGCAGCAAAGTTAAAAAAAAAAAAAAAAAAAAAAAAGCTTTGTAGATATCAAAGAGATGTGCGTGTCCATACATTATAAAATCAATGGACCAGAAGGGACCTGTAAGATCATCAAGTCCAGTCCTCTGCCATGTGCAGGAGGTTATTAACAGGCTCAAATGAGTTCAACGAGGTGCTTGTCTAGCCTCCTCTTGAACACCTCCAAGGATGGTGACTGCACCACCTCTGCTGGGAGTGTGCTCCAGATTTTAGATACCCTTACAGAAAAGAAGAGTTTCCTAATGTCCAACCTAATTTTTTCCTCAATTAGTTTGTGCTGGTTGGTCCTCGTCCTCCCTGGGGGTGCCTTTCTGAAGAGTTGCTCCCCTAGATTTGGTGTACACCCTTGACATACTTGTAAGCGGCTATCAAGTCACCTATACCTATATTATGCAGGACATAGTTCTCAAGCGCTGTTTTAAGGTGATGCTGTGCAGAATGAGCTGGGGAATTAATGTCTGTAGATTAGTCACTGTGAGCATTCTCATGGGAGGAGTCAGGGCTGTCCCTGGGGGGGTGCGAATCTGGGTGACTGCCCTGGGCCCCGTGCTTTGGGGGGCCCTGTGGTCAGTGCTGCGTAGACCCTGCTGCTGCTGCTGCTGCATGGCCACTCTGCCCCCCTCCCCCCACCCCTGGGTCCCGCACACCCCTAGGGACGGCTCTGGGAGGAGTGGTGTTTTTGCTGGTGTGTTACAATCATAATTATGCCTGTAAGTGTTCCAAAGACCGAGTCTGTAATGTGACCACTGGGTAAAACCAGTACCTGGGTTAGAAAAGAAGGGGAGAAGAAAGAGGGCAGGTGCCTAAATTACCATGTTATTGTTTCGTGATGGTTCTTGGGATTCAGGTGGTTGTTATAGTTCAGGCATACTGTCTTGTTGCAGAGCCATGTGCACAGGTCAGAGATTAGTCCCCGAGCTCTTCAGGGCAACCAAAGCTCAGAAAAGCACAGAATCCATCTGTATTTTCAAATGGGAAGAGCTCTTTCCAGCATCTGACTAGACTGTTATTCTACCATGCAGATTCTCCAGTTTTCAGTTTGCAGGCTGCTTGGTAAGAGGCACCATCTCATTGGCCAGCTTTCCATTTTATTAGAGGGACTGTCTGAAAGAGCATTTCACTCTCTGAGCTGAGAACCATTGTTTAAACTCATCTTTTGTCAGTGAATTGTAACATAAGTGGCAGGGACAGGAACACAAGAGGACCAGCTTGTAAGGCACAAAAACTCTGCAGGCCCCAGAGTACAGCCATTGTTTTCTTTGAATATACCTCTTCAGTCAGGCACATGAATCCTTTTAATTGATAGGACCAGTTAACCCAGCAAACTAGGGCCAGAGACATATCTCTTAAAGGAATCTTGTGCTATGCACAAGAAGTAAACAGAGAGAAGCAAAACACTAATGAAATAATTTGATGATGTTTCTTGGACTACATTTCTGTTTTACCAAGCCAAACAAAATCAAACTGTGTAGAGGGGCCTATTACACTGCAGGAGTAAAAGAAATATACAGAAGCAAGGAAAATTACTTAAGAGATGGTAGAAACATTTACACATCTCTCTCCACAGTATTTATGAAGTATTGGAGTGTATGTTCTTTCTGGTTAGGGGTCAGATATCTAGAGAGAGATTCCCTGCCCCCCTGAGACATTTAATCTGTGGCATCCTATATACACTCACTCCAAACTGCAGCCAGGGCTAGGTTTTATCTGAGAATGATGTAGCTCCTGTTGAGTTTAATCAAAGTTGATAGCGACTGGATGCACCCAATTTGGTCCTTAACAAGCAAGTGCCCAAGTGACTCCTTGCATAAGATGAATTGATGATTGAAACCAACAGCTCTAGAATGGAGTATACATGCTTTCATGCCTTTAACTTTTCTTATGTGTTGTACAAAATGTGCTGTCATGTGTTGTCATGTCAGATATCCCAAGACAAGGTCCAATTACTGCTTGTGTTGTTCAGGTAAGCCCTGGAAGAGAAGGCAACACTTTCTGTTCCATTTGATATCCTTCCATATGATGTGGGAGCAGTAGAAACAAGATTTTTCGGGCATGTCTACATGAGAAGTTGCAGTAGACTAATTCTACTGCGTATTAGCGTGGCTGGCAAAAACCATGCTAATGTGCTAATGTGCAGTAAAATCAATCTACTGCTCATTAGCATCATGAAAAAAGTGTTCACCAGTGCTACTGCGCAGTAGAGCCAATTACAGTGCATTAAGTTAGTACCTGTAATTACAGGTACTAAGCTTAGTGTACCATAATTACAGCACATTAATGAACATGTAGGTGCACCCATGAGAGTTATGTTAGGGTCTTTTTAGACAGAAGGGAGGTTTACTGTGTTGCAAAGCCAATGAAGGTAAGGATGGAGTGAAAGAGCTCTACTTTCCAGTCTAAGCAACCTCCTGCCTGTGTCAGTGACACCACTATCACTGCATTGAATGCTTTCACCTAAAGAACCACCTTTGACACGATCTGTGGCTTTTCAGGACCCAGTAGATAATGTTGGTGGAATTATCCTGACTCTTCCACAGCTACAAACTCTATACAATGTCACAGGATGCATCAACTGTAATATGTTAGGTCTGCTACTTGACAGAACTCACTGCTTTTTAAAGAGGACAAAGACAATCCTTACTACTTCTTGTTTTCAAAACATACAAAGAATCATCCAAGTCACATAAGGACTTCAGAACAGTTTAAGAGGTACCACCTTCAGTGCCTTCTGACATATCCTTGCCCTTTGGTAGGGCAGCCTATTCAACTGAGAGTCCAGCCTGCTACAGGGCTGATTAGAAAATACTATGGCACAGGTGGAAGGCTGGGGTGTTGAACAGGTGGCCAAAAGGCAGTAAAGTGAACAATCCTTGCATGAATGGGAATGAGGGGCAAGAAAATCTCAACCTATGATGACTGGGTAGAGATAATTTGGGATAGAGAGGAGAAGGGAACCTTCTTCCATCAGCTGAAGATTTTATCACAATTGATCCTCAGTTTAAAAGACTGCCCTGGATGATTGCTTCTAATTGTAATTGTATGCCCCAATTCCTTTTTTTAACCCTCCCCATCCATACTAAATTATCAGGAGGGACTGGAATATGAAACTCCCACAACAGATTTTGGAGCAGACTAGGCAGTTGAACAGATTAGTGCCTCATGTTAAGATGTATGCAGAACTTTTTGATGCATACTCTATGGAGACCTCTCCAGTCTCATTGCTTGGAGCTGCCTGACAACTCATGGCAATAGAGCTTGATGGCATTGCAGTCCCTTCTATGGGGAAGAGCTGGAAAGAAAGTGGGGATGTAAATATCAGCAGTGCTTTCCAAAATCCTTAAAAGTACTTCCAAGAAGCCAATAATCCAGAGGGAAGAAAACCTCTAGCCCTTCTTCTTCTCTGCTTTTGATCTGGTGTCTTGCTTTGGGTAGCTAAAGTAGATTCAAAGTCCACATTACCTTATCTATAATATAGATTGGCTGTTAAATCTATAG